ACAAACTCATTGAATGCTCATCAATGGTTCATTATTAAAGTGGAATGAGTTATCTAGTGGGAGTGCCACAAGGTTCAATCGTAAGCCCCTTCATCATGTTATTCTATTTTATTCTGGTTTTGATCAAAACCTATTTCAAATATTGTGCTCAGTTCGGGCACCAGTTTTTAAGTATCACAAAAATGGTAATAGGTTTCAGAGAAAGATAAAGGTGATTAAGGGATTAAAAACTAAGCCCCATGAAGAGAAGTTGAATAAACAGGAACTGTTCAGCTTTGAAAAGACTGAAGTGTAGGAATATGTAACTTCTTCAAAAGAAATGCTTCACAGAAATGCATCTTCTTAGCTGTGCACACTCTTAAATGCAGGTGATAAACAGCTATAAAAAACTGGAAAAACACATGGCTGCTTTAATGATTCTAACAGAAGTGTTTGCTCCAGCACATAGTGAAATATTGTTTTTCAGAAATATGAAGGAATGTTACACAAAAGATTGTTGTTTGTTGTTAATTGCAAAGTCGTGTCCGACCCATCACGACCCCATGGACAACGTTCCTCCAGGTCTTCCTGTCCTCTACCATCTTCTGGAGTCCATTTAAGTTCACACCTACTGCTTCAGTGACTCCATCCAGCCATCTCATTCTCTGTCGTCCCGTTCTTCTATTGCCATCAATCTTTCCCAGCATTAGGCCCTTCTCCAGTGAGTCCTTCCTTCTCATTAGGTGGCCAAAGTATTTGAGTTTCAGCTTCAGGATCTGGCCTTCTAAAGAGCAGTCGCAAAAGATTACACTCTGTTTTATATTTCTCCCAAATGAGAATGTGACAAAAATATTCATAACAGTTTGACAGGGGAACCTGAGAGTTTGGGGCTTCCCTTTCTTGAATGGGTGTTTTAATTTTAGATTTCCCCTAAGCTGGGTTACCTAAATGGCCCCTTATGATTCAGCTGTATAATTACAAACACCTGAAAACTGTTAATCTTCTCAGTCAAGATTGATACCTATATTCAGTTTCTTTTATCATATACTCTATGTTTAAATCTTACTGAATCTATTAGTCCTTGGAATTTCAAAGATTTCATTTTTTTGTATTTTAATGCACAATTTACAGAAAGTAATAATTGTTTGATTACTTGTCTTATTTTTTTAAAAAATAATGCAAAAATAAAATTCTGATCAATAAACCAGGGATTCAGAAATGTCATGGAATGGCAGATACAGATTACCTTTCTAATTTCTTAAAAATTGTATTTTAAAATATTGTTTAGGATACACATTGAATAATGTATACGTGGTCTCTTAGATAAGCAGGGTGTTGTACATCTCTGAGAAGGGAATTCTCAGTCCCGCTAGCTTGCTCCTTGCCAAGCATGGAGGAGCCCAGCTGAAATAAGATTGGATCCTCTTTTTATGTAGCATGTCTGCACACAGACCTGCACAAAACCATGTACACATTTTAAACAATTAATTATAATATTGCTCTTTCTATTCACAGAAGTGCTTTTCTTTTGTGCATGGTTAGGAGCAGTAAATGTGTGTTCATACTTGCCATTACAGTCTCAGGAACATAATTACTTTGTTTTCAGTTGTTTTTGCTGGCCACCCTCTTTAATGGTACATTTGGGCCATTGTGTATTAAGGTGGAGGAGGTATTAAGAGAGCAAAATGCTATGTGTAGTATTCAGTGTTCTTTTTGATTGGTCCCTTGAGAATCTAGTCAGAGGATATCTTGGCTAGACGATAAAAGCATGCTGAATTAGAGTTGTCTGAGGAAAACACACTTGAAGCAGGAGGGAGTTGGAACAATGTGTTGCAAAAGAAAGAAAGGGTATATAATTAGCCAGGAGAGAAGTTCTCTTTCAAAGATATTCTTTCATTTCCATTCAGTGCTCACTTTTACAGTTCTAAATAAGACCTCTGTGCTAACTCAGAGGCTTGTTTGTAGTATCAGGAATGTAAATGGTCAAGTGAGGCAAGAGGAGGCACACATTCCTGTGGGCTAATGAGTCCAACAAAATGAGCTAACAAATAAAATTAGAGTTTTGAGTTATATTTAACACGATTTGGGACACTGTGACTCAGTGATTAAGAACCTGTCACTCTAAATCAGTTGCCAGGGATCTGGAATTAGGCAGAACCAGTAGTCTCTTAAACGCATGAAATTATACTTTTGCAATCTGAATTCTTAGGTAATAAATAGTCAAACTTTGAAGTGGAAATACTGCTTCCAAAATGTATGACACTGGCAATATAAATATATCAAAGCTGATCTAATTTGTATTTGTCTCTCACAGTTAAATTAGTATGCTGGTATGTATATATATTTTTTATGAATTTCAATACATAAATTTATTCATAATATAAATTTATATTTGACTCTTACAATCCTATTCTGAGAAAAGGAAAAGACAGAAGCCCCAAGGGTCATTAAAATGATTTTATTGGAGCCTAACATATTTTGGAAATGAATTTATTTTCTCAAGAGCATTCTGAATCTAAACTATACAGAAGAGAAAAGTTCTATAAAAGTCAAACAAGTGTATTTATAAAAGGACACTTTATATCTATTCATTTAGCTTAATCACTGCAACAGAATGTTGTAATAATCATGATGATTAGTATTTATAAGGAGTATGAACAGTTTTAAAACATAATGCATATATTTAATGCAAGCATAAAAACATGTTTTAAAAAATAAACGTATTTATTGGCATTGACTTCAAACTCACCTATTTCACACACTGGATCGAAGCCTGTTAAGAAATTGACATTTAATTCTATTATTTCAGCACATATCAGGAATATTCTGGGCAGAAATATTGAGTTTCTTTTCTTTTTTATTCATTCTTTCATATGATTTGTTGTTTAGCATAGGACTAAAAAGGGCATAATCCATAGTTATCAAGGAGCACTCATGACTTTTTTTTAGATTTCATTGTCAATTTAAGATTGTGCTGGCAAAATTCTCCAACAAATCTCATTCCCTGCTGATTCCTAAGGAAGTAAAACAAAATGGGTATGTTGAGTTTCTAAAACTCTTAACTGTTGATAATAAAATATATTTCTCTCCATCTTATCAAAAACAAGCAAACAAAAAAAATCAACGTTTTTAGTCCTGCTCCTTCTACTGATATCATCAATAAAGTAAATAAATTTTGTTGCTGCCATTTATAAAAATACTAAATTCAGATAAAGGGTTGAACAATTATGGCATCGTAAATCTCAGCACCAGCATAAAATAACGGTAGAAATGTTTTTCTTTATTGTGAGCTTTACTCAGATTATAAATACTCCACTGTTCTTTCTGGGTTGATGCTTCATCAGACAAAAAACATGCTATATAGATGCTGAAGGCTGACATACTTCCTATTTTTCATATACAACTAATTAGATTGTAGTTCTGTATCTGTAATTCTATTTTTTTTTTTGTTGTTCCTTTGTGCTGGGAGTGATGAGAACTACCTGAAAATTAGGAAACATAGAGTTTCTGAATGCTCCTAAGTATCTAAGTTTATTAAGAATTCCTCATATCTTGTTCTTCTGTGGAAGCTGAAGATGAATAGGCTGGACACAATTGCATTCTGTATTCAGAATGCATTCTGCCTTCACCACTACATATGACCTTCACAATAATAAATTCATTTGCCTTCAAGGACTGGGTAAACTTGAACCCAAGCCTATAATGACAGAATTATCATTAGTAAATTCTATAAAATCTGAGGTATAAATAAGGCTAATACTATAGTAATCATATATTGCTTTTTACATAGAACAGTCGTAAAAGTCTAAGATTTGATTTCTCATGATAGAACAATATATGACCATGACAGACTTCAAGTTTAATCAGTGCACATTATGGAAATAGCTTATAACAGAATCAGACTGTTGTTTCTCTATTGTCATATAATATATGTGGGTATATGCATAATTCTGTATTTATTTTTGTCATATTTATGTAGTGTATATTGGAGGTGGTGATCCTTTGAGAGCTGTATGCAATGAAATTTCATTTTAATGTATGCCGATTAGTGTATATTCAAAATGACAATAAAGTTATTATTATTCTATTCTATTCTAACAATATTATCAGGAAATATATACATACACATCCATGCACATGCACACACACGCAAGCATGAAATGGAAACATCTGATTGAAAATAAAGGTTGTATCATTTGTAGCAACAAAATTATCATAAATGGCCTGGTAGCCTCCCCATCCCTTATTGTGTAATAAATCATTTTTGGCCCATTCCCAGTATTTAGCATAAATAGTAATTTTCTGTCAGACAAAATAAACAAGAACTTACACATGTTAAGATTGTAATCTTAGTGCTAGTGCTTTGCTTTTGTTTTTTAATAGTTAATTTACTGTGAAAGATGTATTTCTGTAGATATGAAATAGTATCAGAATTTCAACTTGACCTCTGTAAGTCCCCAAGAATTGGATCAGAAATGATGATGGAGACCTGACTTCTTTCTTGACACCATTGACTCCAATTAGAACATTAATAGGATTAAAAGCAGTGCTCCGTGATATCTTTCTGTTGTTATATTATGGGAGAAAATTAAATGATATTAAGCAATAATGTGAATAAATCATCACCACTAAGTTGTAAAAGTCAACAGAGTGACTTAAATAAATAAATTCCAAACTTCCATTTTTTTTTATCAATATCAAAGTCCTGCCTTAAGACCAAATTGCTTCTTCCTGCTCAGCTCTGTTCAGTTCACACCTGAAATGAAATAGCTTCAGTACATTAAATAACCCTACTGCTCATGTCTGAGTTGTTCCTTTCTCTCCGAGCTGAAATCAACCACTGTTAGAGCCATACCAGATTTGTATAAGACAAAGCTACCCAGGAATTACAGCAAAATAATAGTGAAACCAGGTCATGTGTTTATGGCAAGTAGCTGAAATGCTTATAAATATAGAAATAGTATTTATGTTTTATCTATTTATCTGGTTCAAGTATAATAGTATTTTTGTTTGTTTGTTAGTAATGGGTCAGCAACATCAGAAGACCTCTTCTGGAAACTGGATGCCCTACAGATGTTCATCTTAGATCTCCATTGGCCAGAACCAGAGTTTGCCCATCACTTAGAACAGAGACTTAAACTTATGGCCAGTGATATGATAGAAGCTTGCATCAAAAGGTATGTGTTCATAACTTTGTATCCAATTTATATAATAATTGTAAAAAATAAATCCAGATCCAGGCTGTAAAGGACCTTTTGGAAGATATTTTAATTAAGAAACAGGTTATATCTCTGGGTAAGCATACTTCCTCATTACTTCTTGGTAGGCCTGACCTATATAAGAGCACAGGGCAAAGAAAAAATGACTGTTCTGTTTACTTGGGTATGTTCACTGTTCATGTAAAGGGGACAAATGAATTGAAAGCAAGAATGGGCAGCAACAGATCCAGAGCTCCAATGGAACCTCAGTTATGCCACAGGTTTCAGCTGGTACCCATCAGTGGAGTTAATCGAATCTTGCAAGTCTGAAAGTATTTCTTTCCTTTTATTCTCTAGAAAACTAGGGAGGGTCCCTCCTGAAATGCTCCCCTCCCCTTTTACGGCTGAGATATCTTTACATGATAGTTGTCTATAGTCTATAGCTCTTTCTCTCATCTCCTAAGGTCATTTCTATATATCATTACATGGTGACAAATCTTTTTGTGCTAACTTTCAGAAATGCAGACTGATTGCCTTGGTTTATGTACTGGAGAGGCAAGGGGACTAAAACTCACAGTCTCCCTTTTCCACTCTGGTACCTTAACCATTACACCAAAAATAGCATCAGATGCTAACATTCTGTTTCCATATATGTCCTTCAGTTTCATGGATTACTTTGTATTGCTTAAGTTGGTAAACCAATCCATTGAAGCAACTTTTCCTGCACAAAACTTTCCTCTCTGTCCCACAATGCCAAGTGACAACTCCGCATATTGTGGAGTTTCTGCACAATGTGTTCATGGTTCTTGGAATGTTCAGCAAGAAATGCTCCTCGAGTTGGTATTCAAATCCTGACATTTACACATAAGTAGGCTTTATGTAAGTAGCTCTAAGGCATACGGTAAGTTTTCTGACAAAATGGCAAAATGAACCCCATAATCACTATAATATGCAACCGGGGAGCAAACATATACAGCAGAAGATCTATTTAACTACAGCTTCCAGCTCAAGCAGTTGACATTATTGCTTCATGGACGTGAAGAAAATGAAGATTCTTAGAAAAGGTATTCAATAGTGTCCTTCGTTTTCAAGCTCTTGAAGAACTTGTTGTTTTTCAGGTTACTAATACAAGCTAGAGCTAAACAAATGACTGAATGAATAGTCAGAAGTAAAAACATTTCATGATAAATTGTATATATTTGATTATTAAAGTCATGCACAAGAACTCTACATCATGACTACTCTAAATATCTTCTGAAAGAATGGTAGCAGTACATATGCATTGGTCAGACTAGCCATATTTCACCATGCTACCATAAACACAAAGTGTCCTTTTACAGTTATGATAATAGATTCATCAAGCAGAGGAAGCTATAATATGTCCACTGATCTTTAATTGTTTCAGGTATTAATCATTCTTCCATAATCTATTCTTGGCTTCACCATGCCAGTTATTTCTGAATTATACCTCTGTGGGAGTTATTTTTGTAAAGGAACAATTATTATGCTTTTTCCATCTATTCCCCTGCTTATTTAAAATGTGCCACATGTTCTGAAACTCTTTAACATTGTTAATTGTCAGGAATCCTTGAATATATTATAATGGGGTTCTATGATCAGCTTTTGTCAATTTGAAATTTGTGCAGAAAACATTCAACAATCTGTGCTTTATCTGGGCTATGCTTTGACAAGCAGCTATTTTGTTAAATCAGTATCTAACCTGGAGAGGACTATCTGGACTTTAGTACTTATAAATATGATAATCACATTAGTTAATGTAACATGCATCTAAACATTTCATATTTGCCTTTCACATGTTTTCACTGAATTCCCCTTTTCATTTAGTTTATTTAAAATATGACTGATAAATCTTTCTATTTCTGTAAATCCCATGTTTCAATTAATAGAACAAGAGCTGCTTTTGAACTCAAAGTGCAGAAGACAAATAAATCAACAGATTTGCGTATTCCTTCTTCTGTATGCACAATGTTCAATGTACTAGTTGATGCCAAGAAGCAAACTGCTAAACTTTGTATTCTGAATGGTGGGCAGGAGGTAAGAGAATTCCAGCAGGAACATTGATGATGACAAATCTTAATAAAGATGCAAAAGGTTTGGGGGTAATTTTATGCCAAACATTTATTTGTGTGTTTGTGTGTGCGATACACACATACACACACACAATGCCCCTCCCTATGTACATATGCACGTACATTGTAAACCTCATTTTTTTCCATAAATCATATGGACATTCTTTTTTTCACAAAATACAAAATTACACAGTAATTTGAAAATGTGGTGCTGCTTTAAACAATGAAAATTGTTATGTGTCATGATTTTCAGAAATACAATGATAATTGTTAACCAATTTTTTAAGAAAAAAAGCCCAGATGTTCAAAAATATTATATTCCATTATTTCGTGAATGCCAATGGATTTAGAGTTGGATTTGACAATGTTAATTCTTCTACTGGTAACTAGTTCATCCAAAAAAAGTTACCATAAATGAATTCTTTTCCCAAATAATTATTGGGGACAGGTGGAGCTTACAAAATAGAAAAAGCTCTTGAAAACAAAAACATTGAGCATAAAATGCAGAGGCCTATAGATACAGCTGCTGAATTATTTGCTGAGTTTAGTCCTTTTCATAACATTGAAATAGGCCTTCTCTATCACTCTCTTCTTTCCTTCTCTATCTGGTTACCTCTTCTGCTTTTCCCATTCCAAATTTTGCTTTCCCTTCTGTTTCATGTGCAATTATTGTCCCTCTCTTCCCAACTTCATTGTGTCTAATTCTTTTTTGCAGTTTTTGTATATCTGATATGAGTGGTTTGTGTGAAGGAGAGAGAATGCTTTTATATGTACATGGGAATTAAATAATTTAATAAATTAGGAATCTCATATACAATTAGTAGCTATGATTAGATAGATTGATAGAGAAACTGCATAATGCCTTCCTTCCTTCCTTCCTTCCTTCCTTCCTTCCTTCCTTCCTTCCTTCCTTCCATCCATCCATCCATCCATCCATCCATCCCTTCATCCATAGTATAAATAATAGAATAACAGAGTTGAAAAAGGGACCTTGGAGGTCTTCCAGTCCAACCCCCTGCTCAAGCAGGAAACCCTATACCATTTCAAACAAATAGTTCTTCAATCTCTTATTAAAAACCTCCAGTGTTGGAGCACCCACAACTTCTGGAGGCAAGTCGTCCCACTGATTAATTGTTCTAACTGTCAGGAAATTTCTCCTTAATTCTAGGATCATGACTCCTGATTGACTCCTGACAATGGGAGTGGGTGGGTTAGCCTTTAGCTTTTAGGTGGAATTGATAATATATATTGGCAAGCTGGGTGTTTCAACATGATGTTTTTTCATGAATATGTATTTTTTCCTGATTATTCTTAATTTGTGGATAGTTGTCTTCAGTCAGGGTCATCCTCCATTTGAGTAAATTCAATCTTATAAATATTTGATGTTTGAGGTATTTTGTTTCTAAAAATTACAGTCCCTCATTTTTTCATAGTTAACATATGATGAATACGCATGTTTCATAGTTTGAGATGTATTTGACAACTCTCCTGCACTGTATTTGACTAAGACTTCCAAGGTCGTGGGGATGGGGAAAAAAATCACTTTTCAGTGTTTTTGCTGTTATGCTACAAGTCTCCATCATCCCCACTACCAAAACCAACAGAAATTGCACTGCCCTTTTTTCAATAGCCTTCAAAAAAAACCCATTGTTTCCAGTTACCGTCATCAATGTCCATGAGAAAATTGAAAACACCAGAAAAAAAGGGGTTTTTCCTATTGGTTGGTGTAAGTTTGAGCATAACAATCTGGGAAGAAAGAGTATTTCTTCCTTTTTAATTTAAACTATTAATTTAATTAAAACTATTTAATTTAAAAATTAGGGCTAAGTTACATATTGTTGGGTGTACATATGAGTCATGAGCTACAAGAAAATGACAGCTTCAAATAGAGGAGTCTGTCTTTTCTTGCAAACCAGTCCCCACAAAGTACCAAAGAGAGGCCATAAAAGGAGATGGAAATGCCAGAACTTGCTTCCTTCAAGAAGCATTGGTAACTACCAAACCAATTAGACCACAGATCCTTCTTGGATTTTTCAAATTCACAATGCTACAGTACCATACTGTTTTACTTTGCAGTAATTGTGCTATTTATGTGCATTTATCTTTGTAGCCATCTTTGGTGTATTTTGTCTTTATTTAAACAAGCTTTTCATTAAGTCAGCTAAGATTGCTGTTTTCTATATTATTTTATAATTATTTTCACAATTTTTTCTCAATTTTCTTCTTTTGGGGGGGCTTTCGGGGTATCAACCAGTTTGCAAATCAATGGGTAAGTTCATTGCTTTAAATTTTGTTTGTTTGTTTTCCAAAGTGTTTCTATCTTTACTTGCTTTGGGTAGAATTTATAATTTCTGATTATATATCCCTAAACAAAATGAAAACAGGTCTAGACCATGTAGTTCAAAGGAATCATTTTTCCCAATTGTTGATTGAGTAAAAAAAAAAAATTGGCAGATAATTATGCAAAACTGGGGAAAGTCACATATATGTTCATATGAATATGAAAGAACAGAAGACTTATCACTGTATTAGTTGGACTTCTCAAAACATACCATACATTGCATTTTAAAGGATTCTTCCTAATCCTAAAATGATTTATTTATAGCAAGAAGGTTCAAGATAATCTTTGCTTTTCACCAAAAATGTCTGTAATCATTTATTTCTTCACCCTTTTGGTTGTTTTCTAAAATATCTTCTAATGTGTTCTCTATGGAATGTAAAATGAAACACACACACCCTTCTCAATTAAGCAAGTACCTATTTGGAGTTGGAGAAAAATCTGTCTTCCTTTTGGGTAATTATGGTAAATGGAAAGTAAACGTTATCAGCTCTCCTTTGCAATTTTCAAACAAAAAAACCCTTTCATAACGGTTCAGCTTTTCATTAGTGCTCTATCTGCCATTCTCAAACCCACAATTTTTTTATTTTTATTAACCTTTCAGTATTCAAACAATACTACAATTATCATGTGTGTCCCAGTGTCAGTGAGAGGACTTTGCTTTTGCTTTATCTGACTATCTGTCTGACCATCTACATCTTTTATCAAATTCATCTCATGTCATGTCTTAAGTAATTCTTTCTTGTAGTTTTTTAAAAGAATACAAAAAAATTTCCAATATCAGATAATCAAATCAAATCATTATTACAGTCACAGACCAGCATACAGATATCAGATAATGCAGTCTACTCTATTTAAATGACACTATAGACAAAACAGGTTGTAGCTTTTCTTAGATTTAACAAGAATCAAACTCTAATCTCAAAGAAGAAACCTATTAAACCAGCAGTAGCAAGCAAAGTGTTAGATCCAGAGGAGCAAAAATGCCTAATCAGGTGATTTGCACACCTTTATTCAGCAAAACCTGACAGCAATGTCTACATTTATAATTACAGTATATATGGGCACTTCCTCACAGCATTGTTTCTACTTCCCAATCCTTTTAAAACAGACTGCTGTTATTACTTCTAATGATATGGAATACTAAAATATGAGACAATCACAGTTTTCCTGCTAATAGGAAATAGGACTAATAGGAGGATGCCATTAATTAATTCAATCAGTGCCCAAAAATGGAGGTGAATTGATATAGTATGCGCTCTCTCCCCCCCCCCCCATTCGACATTTTCAAAACTTTTATGTGTGTTTAGGGAGTATTTATCAAAGAGTGAAATTGCACAGCTACCTAGCCATCATTCCTTCTGTATTAAAAAAAAATTCGATTGAGACCTGTGACTATGATATCATAACCATCAACTTTGCAATTAGATACTTTTCCTTGGCAACTGTTGAAATGACAAAGGGGAATAAGTTCTAAACAGCGAGCATTGGTACTCATTGTAAGGACACTTTCCAACAACTACCATTTTCACTGCACTAAATATCCAAAATTCTTCAGTCTTTCACGTAACCGAAAAACAGCCAGAATTAGAAAGCCATCCAGCCTGGCATTATACATTTGTCTCTCCCATTGCAGAAGAGGAGAAGAAAATACACCATTTTCTGTGATTACAATCTTGACATGATTATCCTAGTGACAGTTGTAGCTGTGGGTTACATTATAGCATTTGGAAATCCTTGACATCACATATCCTACAGAAATTTTGAGCTTAGCAGAGCTGTAGGGCCAGCACATCTGAAGGTCAGAGGTTAGGGAAGGTTGATAGCTTCAGTAGTTTGCCTAGGTAAACCAAGCACTGGGGATTATGCTTTTACTTGGACTTCAGTAAGGCATTTGACAAAGCAGATCACAACCTACTACTTGATAAGATAGAAAAATGCGGGTTAGACAGCATCACTACCAGATGGATCCATAGCTGGCTGACCGGCTGTACTCAGCATGTGGGCCTCAATGGAATCGCATCTACATGGAGGGAAGTGTGTAGTGGGGTGCCCCAGGGCTCTGTTCTGGGCCCAGTGCTCTTCAACATCTTCATCAACGATCTGGACGAGAGGATAGATGAAGAAACTGGACAGCCATTTATCCGAAATGGTATAGGGTTTCCTGCCTGAGCAGTGGTTAGATTAGATGACCTCCAAGGTCCCTTCCAACTTTATCATCATTATTATTATCATACTTTTCTCAAAAATAGTGTGTGTATGTAACACTTTGAAAAAGGGAGTAAATTGCCTTCAGGAACCCTAAATTTCAGAAGACTATGTCATGGGCTCTTACAAACTTCAGTGAATGTTTAGACTGATGCTGGCTGTTCTTTATTCAAAGCATTATGCTGTTCTGATTCATGTAGCCTTGAACCATCAAGATAGGGTTAGTCTTTATAAGACACATTTTTTGTGAAGTGGGCTAGTGGAGCATTCTTTGCTTTCAAACAAATGTTCTGATGGAAGAATTATTTTTTTGAATGAATATATGTTCAGAATAAAAGAAAGAGCCTTTGCTCCCACAAATTGCAGGATGGACACTTGCTTTATTATTATCAAAAACAGAATGTGAAAGTCTTTCAGATTTAAAATGTGTTTCTTAAAGAAAATGTTTTCATTAGTGAGAAAAAAGCAGTAGTAGAAAGATGGAGAGCGGCAACTGATTTAGCTATTATATATTTTATGGTTGAGTAATTTATTACCATCCTTCAGGTTTTCTTATTAATTTTTATTTTTTGCCCATTTTAGAGCAGATTGTATAGGAATTGTATAACCTGCAGCTCACTTCACTCTTAAAAGGGTTTTTTGAAGAGCAAACAATTGGCCACTCATTTTATTTCTGAAGAACATAACATGTGAATGAGAGTTATCACACAGAAAGTGGTTTATTTACTAAATCTTCTTCTCATCTTGCTTTTGCAGCTAAATCAGCCCTTTGGGGGTAGAGGAATACATAGCCACCTTAATTATGTAGAAGACAAAAATATCCTTCACATTCCTTTCCCTGAATAAGACCTTGCTGCATCTAAATAATAACCCCATTAGCTGCTTAACTCAAATGCATACATGGGAAAATTTTCTGGATATTGTATGAAAGAAAGTAATTTGTGAGTGGATCATTTTCAAGGCTTTATTCCTTTAATATTTTTTTGTAATATTTTATTGATTTTCTAATTTTACATTTAAGTATTTAAAAAGCAACGTGATGGCTGGGTTAACTGATAATTCAATAACATACAAAAATCTTTAGTACAAATCTCAAGCTACCACATCAAATATTTCCTCTCTTTTTCCCTTAATATCTACTGTCTCATATTTGAACTAATATAGTTCTTATTATATCAATTAAGTAAAAATAGCATTGTTACATTTATCAAGAAATTTTTAGCTTATACATATCCTATTTGCTTTAACATTCAATCTTTATAAACACTCAATGTCCTGTTGTTAGTTTTTCCCAATTTTTAGTTTCCCATCAATATTTAAATTTAACACTTGATATTTATAATGAGTATATTCTATTTCCCACCATCTTAATAATACAGCGTAACATCCTTATTTTCAACTAATTTCCAAATATCTTAAATTTAATGACCAAAATTTCCCCCATTTCAACATCAAATATTTCCTCTATTTTTCCCTTAATATCTACTGTCTCATATTTAAGCTAATACAATTCTTATTCTATCAACTAAGTAAAAACATATTTATTACATTTATCAATAAATTTTAGCTTATACATATCTTAATTACTTTTACATTCAATCTTTATAGACAATCAATATCCTATTTATTTGTTTTTCCCAATTTTTAATTTCCCATCAATATTCAGATTTAACTTTTAATATTTATACTTCCAAGTTTTAAATGACCAAAATTTTCTTTATCTCAATTCATAACAAAATCTAGTGTTCAAAATACATATCTTGTCTATTTGAGCATATTCTATTTTAATTAGTAATATAAAATCCTCTCTAATAAATCAAAACCCCAATTTTCTTCAGCCTTATTCTGGCTTTCTTCTTTTGCCAGCTCGCCTTCTATGTCAGTGCTTTTAAGTCATCAAATAGATCTCCCTCTGTTGTTATATATATTATTTGAAATAAAAGAAACCATCCAGTCGCCATTTTTTTTGAAAGGGCTAGCGAATCATCTCTCTATTATTCCAGATCCCCATAGTTGTCCTGATATGCTTGTCTTCCCTTCGGTCTGTTCTTCTTGCTCCTCAAGTTTCTTCTGGTTTATATAGAAATTCTTTTCCATTTTCAGTGTTGTCAGTTCCTTTTCTGGATTTTCCATTGACTGTATTTGTTGGTCAGTTGAATCCTCTATCATAGTATTTAATTGTTCCAATTCTTCTGTTATCTTCTGTGTAGTTGATTCATTAATTGTAGTCAAAATTTGGGTTTGTATATCTAGGCTGACATCTTGTTCTTTTCTGTAGCATCTTATTTCATCACAAGCTGAAAGAACAGTTTCATGTATTGCTTTCAACATAAAAAGAATTGTTCCTGATCTTCATCCATATTCTCTTAATGGTGTGTTAAATTGAGGACTTTAAAGTTAGAGAATGAAAATAATTTTATAACAGAGTATAGAACATAGCTGAGCTTCTCACAGCTGATATTTGTCAAAGCTGAAAAAGTTTTATCTGTAGTCTGGGCTTCAAGCCAAGTCTCCTTTAGACAATAACAAGTTGTAATATCAAACTTGACCACAAGATATCATCAATGCCATTTAAGGTTTTTTAAGTCCAAATTTTTTATAATACTTTTTCCAATTTTATTTCTTTTTTGTAAATAAAAACCAAAGATAAGAAATCTTTTGGTCCCCAAATTTTAGAAGCATATAAATCCAGTTAGATTAAAGTTATTCTTTCAATGTTTTAACTCCCCTGGATAGTCAGTCACCACTATCCTTAGAGGGTGGGATAGAAGTTCCCTTCCCTCTCTCCTCACAGGGGGGAAGATACTTTGGGCAGCTTTTACAGGAGAAGAAAATACTTAGGATTGAAGAGAGGTTCAAATGTCACCCAGTTTTACCCGCAGTGCTTTAAAATGCTTGGTGGTAAGTTTGACTTCGGCTGTCTGCAGCCTAGTGATATTTCTATGGCTGGTCTTTCATCCGCTGGTTTGGAGGGCTGCCCTGCATTGAGTGGAAGGGCTACTGCCCTCCTGCAATCAAGCGGGGGTCCCTTCCTTGCTTGTCACCCCTATAGGGAGACTCTCAACCCTTTCCAGGATCCCCCAGCGGAGTGAAACCAAACGCGGAAGACGGAACTCACCTTCCAGCGTCCCCGGCAGCCACAATGGCAAACCGGAAGTCCTATTCCTTTAATAATTTTAAATAACTCTGATCTGTCGGTTTTTGTACCTTTGTACAAATGTGATTTATGATAAATAGCATTGTGCTCATTTAATATACTAATGCTATTTTGGTTTTCTGAACCACAGCAACAATATCATTCGAAAATTGATGACTTGATTGAAGAAACTGTGAAAGAAGTAATTTCACTTCTTGTTTCAAAGGTAAATATTTTTTTCCAGAAAAATTGCACTTGGGGAGAAAGAAAAATATCCATATCTGCTTCTTATAAAGAAATGTTTTGATATTTTCCATGTTCCTGCTTTTAAAATAAAATAAGGACTAACACTCCATGAGATCATCAAGATACTTATAAGTGTAAATTGGATTCCAATTTGAACAAATCTTTTTATGCAATATCTATTAAGCAGATACGATTGTCTTATCTTTCATGCTACAGTGCCTTAATTAATTAACAGCATTTAATATGACCACATTTTTACTATTCCAAGATTAGCTTTAATTAGATAAAAGACATTCTGGTTTGCCGCATCTTGCAGTGAAGGAAAGTATGTTTTCAGTTTCTTCAAAAGATTTTTAAGCTTACTTTTGCTTACACATTTGTACTTATATTAAAAAGTTCAAAAGACATTGGCTAATCTATTTTTAATCTTTCTTGTTTTAAATGTTGCTATTCAGTTTTTTTGCTTGTATGTACACTCTTTAACTAATTCTGATAGTTTGAGGATATATCAAATAATATGGGTGCTGGTGGGCTGAGAGATAGGAGGCAAATAATAACAATTATGATGACATCATAACATAAATGTTGCATTTTATATTGTTATATTCTCATCGCAGTTGTTATGGGCATTGATGTGGGATGGATGTATGGATGAATGTAGAAAATTAATGAGATTCTTGGAATGGAAAGCAACGAATCGCACTGGATATGAATGATTATAAATGTTAGGGGGAAAAGATGTGCATTACCTGGTTTTTTTTAGTACAGTTCTAGAATCTGTCCATAGCCTGAAAATGCCATTAAAGTGGAAGGGTTAAGGTGGCCAACTTCAAAGAGGAACTTTGGAGATGCTCTTGTGAAAAAGAGTGAAGACCACAGCTAATTCCATGTAGTTAAGTCTTAGGAAAAAGCAGAAGAGGAAATTTATTCATGGTTCCATACAACACAAATCATTGTGTTTATGGAAGGAAAGCTCTTCAGATAGCTGTTCAGCATACACTGGGGTCTTGTGTCAGTGAACACAAGCCCTGGGCCAGAAAGCTAGTGGAACTCCTTGTTTGAGGGTTATTATATACTGCCCTAGGAATGCTGTATTTTAATTTGGGTTGATATTTTTTATTAGTGTTTGAAACTTACTGTTTGCCCCTTTAAATTGTGTGTCAAATGAACAGCCATGCAAATAAATAAACAAAATAAAGGTGCAAAGCACAAGAATAGGGGCCATCATTTTTTCTCTTCCATAGGAAGAATATGAGCAAATTTATATGTTTAGTTTTAAGAGTTTTACAATGTATTAAGATTTAAATTATTTTTGCATTCAATTTTACATGATCTTAAAGGGGAACTTCAATAACATTAAACATTTGTTTCTCATCATTAAGGGGAAAAAGGATTTTAGGACCAAGGAGTAACAATAGGTCTGTGTTGGAATATAATATAAAATTGGAATCAGTTAACCTCTCCTTGCATAATATTTTTATATTGCCATAAGTCAAATAGAACTCTATCTTTTCCCTAGATTTCCAAGTGACTGCAAAATCAAGATAATACTTCATTTTTGCTTTGTATCCAACATATTTTGATATATTGGTTAGATTTCTATCCTGCTTCCATTTAGGAGCTCAAAGCATCATGCCCAGCACTCCCTTTGCAAGTTTTTCATGACCATATTACAAGACTGGTCAGGCAGAGACAGTGGTTCACTCAAAACCATCCAGTGAGCTTCCATGGCTGAGGACAGACTTAACTCTAGATTTACCCCTGTCATAAGCATCTTCACCATGAAACAGAATCATTCTAAGTAACTGGATTCTTACCTTTTATAAATGTTGTCAAATGTTAACTTTAATTTAGCAAATTAAATTCATCAAAATAAAACAATTCCAGAAATTCAATTTGAACTAGCATTTTGAAAAATTATTCTTGGAAAAGATGAGGATTTCTATACTGACTGACTGGCAAATAGGAAGCCACAGAATTAGTGTGATGAATAAAGAAGTGCCTTTAGTTATCCATTCATTTACTTCTAATCCCTCTCATTTCTTCTTCTGTAATTATCTTTATGATGATATAAAAAGAAAGATATATAAGAAGGACGCATGTGTATTAAATGTATAAAGATATAAGAAAAACGGAATAAGATAAGCTCACTATTATCACTCTGTTAAACCGTTAGGGTCTTTGATTGCTGCAAGGTGAGACTTTCAAATCCTTACAGAGAACAAGAAATATGACACTGTTATGACACTGTTAGAGTGGCCATTAACAACATGCCAGATGGAATTTTGTTCTGTCCTCTCACTCCTATGTTCTAGGAATGTGATTTAGATGTCAAGCAATTACTCTTCAAAATACTTATAAAATTAGTCATTCTATTATTATAAACATTTTGCAGTTACTGTGACAATGAGTAATGTCCTCATATAAATATTTGTATTCATACATTTTTTAAAAAATACTATCTTTACTGTATATTTTCAAAGTGTGATAAGGTTTAATTATTGTTTGCATCACATAGAATTTCCAAAATAAGAACAACAGAATTATTGGCCTATTTAGTTTGGGTTTATTTATAACTTGTTTAAAATAATTGTGATGATGATTCAAAGTATATATTATATAATATATATATATATATATATATATATATATATATATATATATATATATATATATATATATATATATATAGTTAATAACACTAAAAATATGAACCCTGGGAATATTCATATCTAAAATAAAATGAACACCAAGGTATTGATTAAAACTATAAGAGTTTAATTTAAAAACGCCAAGCTTTCGCCGTCATCTGCCGGCATCATCAGGGCTGGACCGTCAGGGTGTGAGAGAGTCATTTTATAGGCAGGCCGGAGTCTGCACTCGGCTCCTCGATCTCGTCACCGTACCCAATTGGTTGAATTGTGCTCCGGTGGTTCGTTTCTTTCTGTCCTTCCTAGCTGCGTGTGTATCTTCATCTACCTTCTTTTCTTTGGATTCTGAGGCAGGTGATGTAAACCCCTTGTCTCTTCGATTGCCTCTATCCCTCAATCCATTCCCCCTTTCGGGTTCGAGTGGTAGTTTGTATTTGTCCTTTTCCTTTCTCCAATCATGCTTCACCCAGTCACTTTCTCTATGAGTATCTTTCTTTTCATCCTTAGTGCCCCTCCCTCGTGCCCAACTGTCATTAGAATGGTCGTGCACAATGTTCCAGACTGGCTGGGGTGGCTCAATGGATTGTTTTTCTATGGGGGTGATCTCATGGTTATAATTATCTTTGGCCCGTCGGTGAGGTGTCAGGTCTAATGATCTCTCCCCATCTTTGTCTAACGTATCTCCTTGCACGCTAATTGGGATATCTTTGATGTTCATGATGCAGGGGTTCTGGGCTTTAATTTCTATCGCTCTCTTAGTTTTTTGCAAGCGTGTTAACATTGCAAGGGTAGTGGGAATTCTCAATCGTTGTCCCTCCTCTTCTGAATTGCATCGAGTTGGTTGGGGGGTTGGCACATCTCCTATGGTTCTCTCATTGGATTTACTATCGGGCCAGTGGTAGCGAGATGGGTGGTTGGTCGCACTCCATGATCTAAGTGCTAAGTGTGCCGGACAGAGGTCAATATGCCGGTTGATAGAGCTGCCATTGGATAGCCATGCTTCCTTAAGCAGTCGGCCTCCCTTAGTACTGTCACTTGCCCAGACGTCTACTTCATTAAAATTAAAGCGGTGGCCCAATTCCGCCATATGAGTCCATATCTGGGAGTGTTGTTCGCCCCTTTTCACAGCTAGTCTGTGTTCGTGGACCCTGGTCTTCACTCGTTTGGAAGTCTCCCCAACATAGTTGCACGGACAGTCCATACATTCGATCTTATATATGGCTGGCAATCTCTCCATGTTGGGGAGCGGGTCCTTGGGGCGCATAATGGCTGCCCGTAGCGTTTGGCTGGGTCTATGTGCTACCTGTATATTATATGGCGCCAAAATTCTCGCCGTAGCCTCTGATACATTGCAGATGTAGGGGAGGGTAATACGTGTTGTCTGTGGTGTCAACTCATTAGGTGTGGGGTTACTCCGGGGTTCAGATGGTATATTAAACCAGTTGATGAATCTTGCCGGGTACCCATTGCGCTTACACACTTGGAAGAGGTGGTTTCTTTCCTCCCTCTTAGCTTTGACAGTGCTGCAATGTGACTCCACCCATTTGAATAGAGTCTTAACACAACTGACTTTATGGGCTATCGGATGGTTGCTCTCAAAATGGAGGATCCTATCCGTGCAAGTTGCTTTTCGGTATACCCTGGTGGTCAAAAATCCATCCAGTTGGCGTTGCACCAATACGTCTAGAAATGCTAGTGCGCCCTGATTTTCTTCTTCCATGGTGAACTGGATGTCCGGGTATACCGAATTCAAAATGCCCATAAAGTCAGTCTTGTGTTGCTTCTTGATGACTACAAACGTATCGTCCACATAGCGGGCCCAAAATTTTGGTTGGTACTGGGCATAGCGATGGGGAGAGATCATTAGACCTGACACCTCACCGACGGGCCAAAGATAATTATAACCATGAGATCACCCCCATAGAAAAACAATCCATTGAGCCACCCCAGCCAGTCTGGAACATTGTGCATGACCATTCTAATGACAGTTGGGCACGAGGGAGGGGCACTAAGGATGAAAAGAAAGATACTCATAGAGAAAGTGACTGGGTGAAGCGTGATTGGAGAAAGGAAAAGGACAAATACAAACTACCACTCGAACCCGAAAGGGGGAATGGATTGAGGGATAGAGGCAATTGAAGAGACAAAGGGTTTACATCACCTGCCTCAGAATCCAAAGAAAAGAAGGTAGATGAAGATACACACGCAGCTAGGAAGGACAGAAAGAAATGAACCACCGGAGCACAATTCAACCAATTGGGTCCGGTGACGAGATCGAGGAGCCGAGTGCAGACTCCGGCCTGCCTATAAAATGACTCTCTCACACCCT